TCTAGCCAAACAATGAAGGATACTAACGTATCAACCTCAGATGGAAGCACCCTCAAATCCATAACTTCACAGAAATCTCTATACACATCCCACGCCTTGTCTAGCCACTTATTCCAACTATTTGACACCGCTTTTCTACCCAAAGCCTGCGCTTTAGCCAACAGGATCCTTACTAACCTACTCTTGCTGCCACAAACTGCCAACTCAGGTTTCTCCACGGTTCCACTTCTCCTGAAATCCCTTTGGTAAATGATACTTGGACTGGAGGCAGGAGCAACATATCTATTGTCATATACATTAACATTGGCCACCACTCTGCTGACACCCATCTTGGGATGATTATGGTTGCCACAGCCTTTTCCTCTCTTATGTGTTGAAGGACACGATGGATTAGAGCTAGTAGGGGACAAACATAATTGTTCTCTCTGAACCAGCTCTGAGTAAAGCAGTTTACTCCCTCTGAGTTCGGACAATAAAAACTGCTGTTGAATCACTCCATTTTGGTGTTCTGATTGTCTGCCATTCGATCTATAGTATAAGGACCCCACCTGTCTTTCAATATCATGAAAACTAACTGACTTAGACACCAATCATTTGGTTTTACATATCTGGTCAGGAAGTCTGCCAGGTTTAACTCTGAGGGCACCCTAAAAACCTCGCTGATCCAAATGTTGAACTCGTCCAACAATTCCCACAACCTTCTTAGTAAATCCTTTTGCCAAGGTAAGCTTCCCTCTTTTAAAACTGTTCCTATTGCTCCTCGATTGTCTATATGTAGGTCGATCCAGGAATGCTGGAGCATTCTTGCAAAGGACCTTATTCCCAGAATTACAGCCTCTGCTTCTAGCCTTGTGATCTCCCTGTGTGATCTTTTTAAACTTCAATTCCCGAATGCATGAAGTTCCCTGAAAACCACAGACCACCCAATTGTTGATGCACTACAAAGATCTGCTTTACTTTCGATGGTTTCCAAGCAGGATGCCCATTCTGTTTCTTTAAATTTTGGATCACCCATCTGGCATCCTCCTTTGCTTGCTTTGTCAACTCCACTAATGAATCCCATTGCCAACAACCCCTGTTTGCTGCATCTATTATCATGTAAAACTCCAGACATCGAACTTTGGCATGAGCAAAGGCTCTGCTTAAAGACTGCATTTTTCCTGCTATTGCTGCCAAGTTGCATACTGATATCTTCTCTTTCTTTATAAGCTCTGACATCAACGCCCTTACCTCTAAGATCTTTGAATCTGGAACTATTACTTGTGCTTTCACTGTTATTGCTAAGGATACTAACAAACGATTCAACTCTCTTTGTACCTATTCCTCTTGGTCTCTTGATAATGCGTACTATTTTGGGGTTTGTTGTGCTGCAAGTAAAGAACCTCCATGAAAACAATGGAACCCCATTCTTAACCAACTTATTACTACAGGTGATGATCCTATTTTGTCTTGCCAATAACTCAAAGCTTCTGCTGACTGCATCCTTCCCACCACTGACACCTGACTTTCTGCCTTCCCCAGACCTGACACTAGACATTCTTCTGAAAATGGGGTCCGAGTGTAGTCAGTCTCCATTCTTTGGCTTGGTAGGGCTCTAGAACCTGCGGAGGGGCAGCTGGAGGCGATGTGTCCAATGCCTCCACAGTTAAAGCAGTTAAAAACTCCTTTATGTTCTGAGAACCTGAAGGCTCCTCTGTCACGAAAGGATTGAAACTTCTATCATACCTCCTTTTACCCTTATGACTTTCATCTCTTTCTGAATCAGACGAAGGTGAGGAATATCTTTTTTTCTTATGCCTATATGACTTATCAGACTTATTCCGACTATAATAGCATGAGGCCGCACCTGATTGGCTAAATAATGGAATACGATCCTTGTATTTTTCCATCATTTTGTTATTACTCCCAACTATCTGTAATGCTGTACCCCAACCTCTGTTATCAGCTAATCTTAGTGTAGCTGCTCGGGCTTCAATTTCATCTCTAATACCATTAAAATCCTTTTTAATAGCCGTTGGTACTACCTTTATTGCTTTGTCCAAACGTTTGCCGATTTTCACCAAGAAATCATACTCATACTGATCACGTGGCTTCGACAAACTAACCTTAGGCCACGTTTCATCTAATAAATCACACTCCTCTATTTCTCTATGTAGAGCAGAAAAATTTCTTTCCATCTTCATTTCAATTTTACCCATCGCTGACAGAAACATATCAACTGTTATTTGTTCAGCCTTCTCTCTTTCTTGGGAATGACCTACTAACTCATCTTTAATACTATTGTCTGCTTCCTGCGAATATGCATGCACGTCATCCACCTCAAGGTCAGCATCCCTTTCATCATTCCAATCTCTTTCATCAGCATCAAATCTGAGTACTTCAATAATGTCATCCAAATCTTCTTCATCCCCTACTCCACTCCTGTCTGTAGCCTTTCCTTTATTCTTCCCAAAATATGCCTGGAGCCTATCGCTCAAGTTCTCCTTATTCCCTACACTAGATAAGCTGCAAGACATACACAAGTCTTTTAATTCATTTAACGTAACTTAGACCAGCTTATACCTGACATATGGTAATACCAAAATTTTATCGCAGAGAAAATTGAGACTGAATTTTATTTATAATAGTTTATTTCTATTTTAATATAGTTAGATGATACAGTAGTAAACGATAGAGTCAGCCTTAACACAAGGCGAGCAATAGCGAAAAGAAAGATAATCTACTAACAACTTCAAAAATCTTTAAATAACCATTTACTGGACAAAGGCATCTCACGCCTACATAGGAAACCCATACTCCTTACTATGACAACAATCACTTACCACAAACTAATAACCATAATATCATTATATGCAATCAAGTTACTACATCATGAAAAAACCTGCTTAGAACTAGCGAACTATCAACTAATTACAACTATTCTATAAAAGGCTAAACAATAAATTTTCACGTGACCTGAGTCCTCTGATCTCGCAATAATGATCGCTCTGTCACTTCGTTGACAAGCTCTTCACAACTTACTAGATTAGGTAAAACATTAGCTTTAATTGATAATTCTTTCAGTGGGAAGAACATTTAGTTCATATTTTTAAATCATGTCAAGTTCATTATAAACGGTAAGTTAATAATAATAATTAAAATTAAATTTTTATTAACATTAAATATATTTTAATAATAAATTTTTATACAGAA